GCGCTCAGCGCTGGCCAGCTCCGCCTCATTCAAGGAGGCAGGTTTATTGAAGTACTTGGGCGTCCCAAGCGCCCACCGTGTCAAGGCGGGACGCCCGCTCGCGAAGAAAGGCGTTTCACGAGGGCAAGCAAAAAAGTAGGAATCAAACCACGTGCGCCCCAACTTCTGACAATCCTCAATGAAGTGGTAGCCTATTTTCTTGCGCTTGTGGAGTATGAGGCAGTTCTTACTCCGGCTCATCCGGAAAAAATGGTTGAAGAGCTTGAAGGTAGGCTCGATGCTCAGCTGTCGACACTTAAGACGAAATAAAATGGAGTATAGTATGACCGCTGGAGAGAGGCGCCCCAGCGAACACCGGCACGAATCAAGGACCCCTTCAAGGATGGGATCGAGGGGAAAGCGCAGCCCGAATCTAAGGTACTCTTGGTAAACCCCTACCCAACCGTCGCCACAGGCGCCTATCCGAGCTGCTCGAGGCGCATGGGAATATTGCCAAGGCGCAGGCATCTGAGCGGCTACCAGCAATTTCTCGAGGCGCACACGTACGAGCTTTGACGGGTGCTTCGGGCCCACCGATTCCAAGGGCAACCCGGCCACGTCGTCGGGCGCTTGCCCCGAGGCCCAAGTCGATTCCCACGAACGAAACGCATAGCTTTGCGATGCGTCAGGGCCTGGGGCAAGGGGGCAAAGACAGGATTAGGCGAAGAAAACGAGGGGGAACAGACCACACGAGGCGCACTTAATGGAGGGCTCAAAGGGATTAGGCGCGCGACAAGTAAGAAGGAAGGCGCATAGGAGCAGGCTAACGGATTGGACGCAAAAAAAAAAAAAAAAAAAAAGGCGCATTAGGGGCAGATGTCTTACGTCGTGGTGCGGCGGCCGAAGTGGAGGGGGCGCCTGAGCGCGAGGAAGCAGGAGCGCCGGAGGAGGGCGCAGAGCGCGAAGCCGAAGGTTGCTGAGAAGAGGCCATTGATGGGAGCGCAAGTCAAGGCGCGAGAGCAACTAAGGAAGGCGCACGGGAGGGCGAACGGCCGTTTCTAGTGAGAGAAAGAAGAGAGAAGTCAGAGCTTTCTGAGGGGAAGTGAAGAAGAAGTGAGGGGGAGGAGGAGAATATATAGTGTGGAGCGGGAAGCTCAAGAGTCCCAGTGTTAGCCCGTTTCGAATTCCGAATTTCGAAATTCAAAATCCAAAACGGCCTAGGGGGAGATAGGGGGAAGCTCAAGAGTCTCACAGAGTAGGGGAAGCCCAGGGGTCTCATGATGGGATAGGGGAGAAGTCCAAAGGTCCTGGAGGGAAGAGGGTGGATCCCGAGGATACCTTGATAACATTCGAAGTGCGAGAACTGGAGGGTCCGCAACATTGGAGAGGATCGATGAATCGCAATCGGCGAAGCCCGGGGGCAAGGCGCGCAGAAAGCTAACAGGTCGCCACGTGGCCGGGGGCAAGGCGTGCAAAAAGCTAACAAGGCGCCGTGTGGTTAGGGCAGATAGCAAGGGGAAGAACCAGGGAACCACGGAGGCAAGGGTCTGGGAGCAAGGCGCACGGGGGCAAACAGGGCGTCTCGAAGCGGAGGCGGACGCAATGAGTTCAAAGCGCCTGGAAAAAGCCCACGCCTAAGGAGCACCATGTTCCAGCTAGGCGCCTTGGAAGAAGCCTCAGGCGCCTAGCTGGGGGGGCAATTGTTGGGGATGTATACATGGCCCATGTGGGTTGAACCAATAGGGCTCAAGAGTAGAGTTTGGGAGGCTGAGGAATTGGGCCCGGCCCAATGGGCCCAGGGACAGAGGGAAAGTCGGCCCAGAGACAGGGAAAAGCTGCCCCAGACGGGTGGGGCCGCAAACCTGACACGAGGCGCGTGCGACAAGTGGGCACCGGGGAGTCCCAGTGTACGGGTCGGAGGACTGGCTGACGTCATGCGCCTGACCCTTCTGAACGGAGTGTCAGATGGTCGAGGCGCATGGGCGCTAGGCCGTACGGAGCATTAATTGCGGGTCTGGCAAGGGGCGAAAGGGAAGGATGTTGGTCGGCCGGGCTTCGGGTATAAATAGTCGGTTGGTGAACTTCATTTACTCAGGTTGGTGCTTCTCTCTAAAAATTACTATTCACTTCTCTCTCTAGAAAAGGAAACTGACTTGGGCGTTGGAGTGCTAACGAGTCCTCTCCGGGACTCAGGTTAGTAGTGCAGCGTGTAGGTCCGAGCGTGCGGGAAGGATCAAGCGCGAGGGTTCGGGGCGCCTAGTTACCGGGCTCGAACAGGAGGTATTTGATTTGGAGGAACGTTTCAAATTTAGTTTAATCAAAACGAAGAGGGGATCACCAATCAATCAATGGTAATAATTATAATATGATTAACTAGTAATTAATTTATCCATTTGACATCTACTTATTAATTTTCACACAGTAAGAGTGAAGGCTCGGCCTCAATAATGGTTGATTGGTCTTCATAAAAAAAATGGTTGATTGGTTAATTAATTAAGTTTATACATATAAAATTATTCGTCTTCTTCGGAAGTCTTCACCTCGTCTTTATTGAGCATGACAAAGGGAAATCTCAATTGTTTCCAAGTTTTTTAATTTGCTAAAAAAATTAAGAATAGCTGGCTTAAGCCAATTTAACAAAAATTCCCTTAGTAGTAGTAATAATAATAATAATAAACTGAAAAGAAGTGAATTAGCATCTTTATTATAGACCTATTATTAAGACTTAACCACTAACCCTTCCCGCGTATATTTGGGGTGAATAATATGCCCTAACTACAACTGTAGATTAATAATTTAAAGAAGTTAAAAAGGGTCCTCTTCCTCAATATAGCTCGAAAACAAAAACCATACCAATATGATTCCCATCTTTTGGGTCCTAAAGGAAAACTAACCAATAACGTACGGAGCCATGAAAAATCCCCAAAGAAAAACATTTTTTTTCCTTCTTCCTTTTGTTCTTTTTCGAGTGTCCAATCACGCCAAGTTATTTTTGTGGCTGAAGTTGTTGCATCCTTGCATGTACGTAGTGGTGCCCCAAACGTCAAAACTATGGTCCATTAATTCATTTACTGGTACATATATTATTACCAATAATATGAAAATTTCGTTAACCCTGTTTTAAATCATGGTTTTAATACCAACTTATATACTGATCTTATCTAACAGCTTAATTAATTCGCTGCCAATTTCCATAGTCCAAATATAAATATATAATGTGTATATATATGCATGTTCTGACATTGAATAATTAATACATAAACCCATCTTTTGCCAAACGGGAAGGCAATGTTTATATGAGTAATGATCACATGAAACCGGCCGAGAAGGGTACAACTAGTACAATTATTTTTTATTTTAATGCCCTCCATCATATATCAATCTATTCTTTCACTTTCACTTTGGCCAACAGAAACAGCAACCATTATTTCCTTATAGTCTAAAAGAATTGCTGCATTTGCAATGACCTATACACGCTGCTCTCCCTTTGTTTTTGTCTCTTGACTGCCAATTCTCTTGTGTTCGCATGATTCTCAACAAAAACAACAACAGCAACGACATTTGATGTAACCCTCTTTGTAAATAATTAAAACTAATTAAGATACTACTCACCAGTCACTACCAAAAAAAAAAAAAAAATTAATAAGAAGAAACCAGACCTCCCCAAAATAGAGTAACTGATTGATCGAAACCATTTGGACAAAATTGAAAATACACACAAAATTCATTAACCAACAAGACCTTGACAGTCCATCAAAAAAACCCCCCCAACAAGTAAAATGATGAACATAAGATAAAAATTCTACCAGGGTACATGTTGGGTGATTTTGATGGGGGGTTTAATAACTAAATAAATGACAGAATTATTATTTAATTAATGCACTTTGATATTAATATTGAATAAATCGAATTAAATGAAATCGAGAAGAAGAAAATAAAGGAAAAGCCTTGTCATGGGATTGGAATTTTCGCAAGAAATAAATTGCATAGGACCCATTTGGACAAAACGGAAAAGATATTTCCAGAGTGGGCCGTCCTCTTCGTGGTGTATTATTGAGCACACTTGTGCCAAATTGCTGCTTGCATTATATCCCCCACACAAGTTGGAATATATACATTTAGACCCGCAATTAAAAAAAGGGACAGCTGATGATATGAAGATTAGATCAGAGTTACTGTAGCAGTTTTGCATGAAAGTTTCACGCTTTCACATTCTGCAACATTATATACTAATTAACTCAACAGCTTCTTTGGGTTTTTGATAGGGTTAAGAAAGTTAGACAAGTGCGTACGTTAACAAGCACAATAACAGTAAGCCACAACAAAACTGACATGTAGTTTGGGGTTATATATATGGAAATTTTTATATATTATCATGCAACGCGGTAAATCGATCGGCCTTCTTGTAATATAAAAAAAAAAAAAAAACTTAAGTCGTCAATTATGACTTTCCTAGCGAGAAATCAAAGAATTGTCATAGAGATCGATTTAAACTTTCAGATGCAGTTGGGAGTAGCTTGAGGTGAGTTGTGAGTGTTACTTCTACTTCATTTTGCCCTATCTTTCTACCCATTATGTTTTATAGTTCTCTCTAATATTGTTTACTTGTACACATTCATGTTATTTTGACTTATTGAAGACGACAAATCGTTTTGCCTATACGTAAAGTTGTCAAGCCGTAATCAGGTCGAAAGCAATACATGGTGATATTTGTTTCTCCTACAAAAGTGTTAATACGTATCCACCAAACCCCACACCGGTAATAATTTCGATTCACCGTGACCTCCACTCAAAGCATATAATTATACAGCGGATCGATACCTTAACAAATATGCATGCAATTAATAATTAGAACACGAATTGCGCGCAACTCTCACCCATATCATTTACATGGAGAATAGTGCATCCACCAACACAACTTGTTATATGCCATAATTCCTAGCTAGATCCCAAGAAGAAGAAGAAACAATGGCCTCCCGAAGAAAAAGAAAAGAATTGAATGATCCCCCAGAAACGTACATGTGAGAAAGAAGATAAAGCTGCATTGCATTAAAAACAAGCCTATGATCTGCACTGCCACTGCAGTTCCTAAAACCAAAGACCAATAGGGAGATGATATGAATGATAATGGTCTTCATCATGAAGCAAGCAACCCTCCTCTCTGAGCTTTTTCCCCCCCTTTCCTGATTCTCTGCAGAAAAACCCCACACCAATTACACAAAAGGGCAACAAGTGTACAGAAATCTGTAGGACTTTGGTCCTACCAATGCATCACAGCAAAATGGAAACTTGTGATGATCACTGTCTTCTTATATATGGACCACTCTATATATGTAAGTCTGTAAACCCTACGTGCAGAGGGCACCCTTAATTATCAGTGCATACAAGAACGAAAAAAAAAAGGAGAAGAAGAGAGAAACAGAAAGGGTTACAAGTTTCGAAACCTTTCATCGTCGATCTCCCTTTTCTGCTGCCAGTGCAGTGCTCTCTCGTCACTCAGAGTTCCAGTTTCGACTTTCGACCCCTCTCATTTTTTTTTTTTTTTTTACCTCTATCCCCCCGCCTTTCCTGGGTGCCAGTACCAATCAATGTTCATCTGCAAACAAGTAAACAGTCATTCACTTTCTTTTTCTATATTTTGTTTCCATTGTCCAACATATTCAAGCATGTTGGTTCTCTTTTAAGAGTTTGTTTGTATGAGAAAATTTAGTTTGCAACATTTATTACCACGTGAAGGTGGTTTTTCTTATTTGTATTTGGTAAAAAAAAAAAGAAGTTGTTTTTATACTATTATAATTAGTCATTTGATCAGTGAGGAGGTCTTGAATATATGATGGATGTGCATTCTGATGTTCTTCGTGCGAACATTATTATAGGTCAGATTAGCGACAATCTAGATAGCACTGTTGTTGTCAATAAACACATTTATCATGAGTTGACCTGCAAAGTTGATATATGCGAGGGAACATGATGTAACCAAACCCGCTCCGAGCTAACCTCAAACACGGCGTGACGCTTGGCTTCGTAAGGATGATTTTGTTTCCTCCTAAGTCAAGAAACAAACAATTATCTGATTCTGATGTACCAACTATATGAACATCATGGCCGTCAACATAATTCGCATATGAACATGTTTAAAGCCTCATGTAACTGGATAGAATATGCTAATATCTCGCGTGCTTATGTTGATTCCAAGGTTGTCAACCCGCGGGTTGACCCTGACCCGGTCGAGCTAGTGGGTCAAGGGTTAATGGGTCAACCGTTTTAGCCTGGTTTGGCCCGGAAATATGGAAAAAGTCATTATATTGTACTTATCCTCATAAATTATATCAAATCTTATCTAACATATGAGTTACAACATATAATATTACACCAAAATAACATATCGTATATAGATCCAACATATAGTGAAAATTCACACACACTTATATAACATAAATATTCAAATGTTCAACTTAGCATTCCAAAAATTGAGCTAGGCGAAAAGAAAACCCGGAAAATAGGCGCATTTCGCAAACCAAAGAAAAAAATGACACAATTTGACCTTCAACCCGGTACCTTGTAGCGGTCGGCTCGCCCGTGCGGCCCGTTTTTCTCACCGGGTCAGGGTCAAAGTGGGTCGGTCCGCGGGTCAACCCGCAGGTTGACAACCTTGGTTGATTCACAGAAATACTACTGCTGCTGCTTGGAATGCTGACTTTCCATGCAAAGAGAGTAATTAAGATGATCAATCCAGGTAAAAACACAATGTGAAATTTAAAGGAGTTTGTATGCTTCTCATGAAAAAATTGTGAAATTATAGAATGCGTTATATTCCATCATATCCAATGAAGTATTTGCCACATTCCATCATGAAATTTTGTTTTCACAATTAACCTTGTATTTTTTAGACATAAACTTCATATTAGAGAACTCTAATACAAAATTTCAGTAGATCTCACTATAAACAAATTCTGTTTAACGGTTTAACATCAAGCACTAGTGGAAACACCCTAATAATATTTCAAGGAAATGAAAATAAAATACCAATAACATCTTAAGACTTTTCTAAAAATCCAAAACATGTCATTAAATGGAAAATAACCAAGCTTTATAAATAGGGATATGTATCAATGATGTATAGTTTTTTTTTTTTTTTTTTGTAAAGGGGAAAAACATATAAAAAGGAAAGGAAGAGAGGCAATTGGGCATTTGGACCACCTCATCCCTTCCCTCCCCTCCCCTCCCCCACTTTATTATAGTTTTTCTTTTTTGCAACTCTTCTTGTTCACCAATCAATCACTACTCCCTACCTTCCCTCCCTCCCTCCCTGCCTTATTATTGTTTTTTTCTTGTCAAAATAACAAATGTTGTTAGCAGAGCAGCCCAATCATGAAAGCCAAATTGTTCCATTTCTGATATCTCCCTTTGATATGATCCTTCCCCTCTCTTCTCATTGGAAGAAGCCTTGAAAATCTTTTTGTTTTCTTCTTCTTATACTCTTCTGTTCTTCTTCTTCTTCTTCTTGCTCGAGGGCCCACCACCACCACTACCACCATAACATCAGCCAGCAGCAGCAGAACTCAGAAGCTATAGGGAAGGGAAGGGAAGAGACAGTGGGAGGAGGGTTGGCAGAGGCAGAGAGAGTTCTTCTTCTTCATCTTCTTCGTCTGTCTGTCTGTCTGTCTTCACCAATTCCCAAAAGGGTAGCTCCTGCTTCTGCTCCTGCCAAAAAGCCTTTTTCCCCCCGCAAGTGGAAAAGCAGGCTCTTATTGGGGGATTCCCTTGCCTTTTCCCCCAACCAACCCAACTCATAAAAAAAGGCTCCATCATCATCATCATCATCAGATCACCTGTAATTCACATTTATTACCCTCCTTCTCTATCTGCATTTCCTATACATTTTTAATCTGCTCTTTTTTTTTTTTATAATTGGGGATGTCTGAAATTGATTCTTCAATACAAGGCTAGACATGCACATACTTTTGCCAAGCTTCCCTCTTTCTGTTCTATTGATATGTCCAGATTTCTAGTACAACAAAAATTATTGTTGGTTGTTTCTTTGTTTTGTTTTGTTCTGTTCTGTATAATGTTGTGAATAAGTGAGAGTGAGTGAGTGAGTGTCCCAGAAGTGAAGGGAAGGGAAGGAAGGAGGGGGGAAAGGGCAGAGTAAAAGGATCATGTGGCGGCTGGCCCTGTAGGACAAAGGATCATTACTTCACCTCTTATCTTATGGTCGTCCCTTTTGCCCATGGAACATCTTTCATACAACCTCATTGTCTCCCTTTTACTTTTTCTGCGTTCGTACGCCTTTAGGCAATTAACTATTCATTTCTTTTAACCTAGGTATGATATATGATTGATGTGTAATCAATCCCAAGGAAGGACACATAGTCATAGCCAGCCTTAATAATAAACAAAGAAGAAAACCACCTGACTTGAAATAAATAAATAAATAAAATAAATAGGAGGTTTGAAATAATTGAAGTAGTGTGGTGTGGTTTTTTTTATTTATTTATTTATCTAGGAGTTCATTTTTACTTTTCTTCCTGATCCGTAAGAGCTATATAGATTTGCTAGCTAGGAAGTCTATTTTGGATGTATTTTGGTATATTTAAATATATGTAAGTTTGCTTGTCTACATTGACCCACTTGCTACTGTAAAGCTTAATCACCCTAACCTCATAACAACAACCACCTTATTAGCTCCAGGAAAAAGGCCTAAACACAGGATTTCATAAAAAAAAATTAGGTCCCAGAAACAAAATTTGATTTCCATTATAAATTATATCTTCCTATTTCATATTTTATTTGCTTTTCCCAAAAATTAAATTCCTACAAATAAAAAGAAAGTCTTTGGGAGGAAAAAAAAAAGGAGTTTATGTTCCTAGGAGGTAGCTAGCTGATTACATGGCAAAGGCAAGCCCTCTCCTTTTTGTTGGCTTATTAACAGAACTGACCTAATAATAATAAAATAATCAGAATATATGAAGAAAAGAGTAGGCAAGGGAAAGTCTCTCTTCCTTTTCCTTTCCCCCCTTTCTCTCCCCTTCTCCTTCCTCCCTACTCTATTTACCTTCTTCCTTTTTCCCTTTCTCTTCTCCCCCTTCCCTTTTGGCCTCTCTTTCTTTCCATTTTCCCAGTAGCTAGAGCAGTACCACTTCCTCCTCTACACACTTCCTTTCCCCCCCTCTTCTTCCCTTCCACTGGTAAAAATAATTCAATCAATCACTGTTTGATCAAAAAAGGACTTATTCTAACCCCACTCTCTTTCCCATGCTTTTTTTTTCTTACAGGGGATCATCAGTTAGTTACTCGTTATTGGGTTTGATGGAAAGCAGCAGTGAAGAAAAAGGAGTTGGAGCTGGTGGCGGAGGAGGAGCCGAGTTCGGATACTCATCACCACCGCCATCAGCAGCTCAGCAGCAGCAGCAGATGATTATGAACCATCAGATCCACCACCACGGCTTCGATTCCGCGCCGTCGGAGATCTTCAACCTCACCACCGGCATCGAGATGATCGGCTTCCCCAACTCATCCGCCAAACCCCACTCCCCCGTCGCCGCCGCCATGTGGAAACCCTTCGGCGAAAAGTCAGCTACGAGCGAACCCACGACCACAGACCAGTTCTACCACCACCACCAGCACGAGTTCAGCGACGGAGGCGGCGGGGTGGTGGAGGCAGCGGGGATGATGGCGGCGGCGGCGGTGGAGGATCCGAGTAGTAATAACAACAATAATTCATCGATGGTGTTTTCATGCTCAGGGAACGAGCGGCCGAGCCAAGGGCTCTCACTTTCTCTCTCCTCCACCCACCCTTCCACCATCGGCCTCCAGTCCTTCGAGCTAATCCGCCACCACCACCACGGCAACCACCAGGAGGAAATGAGGTTCATGAACTCCCCGGCCTCCACCTCTCGCGGAGGCGGGGGAGGCGGTTTTTTCTCTGCTAGGCCGCCGTCCTCGTCGCAGCAGCAGCAGGAAATGGATGGCTTGTTCCACCAGCAGCAGCAGTTTCAGGTGAGAGGGTCAAGGTATCTGGGTCCGGCCCAAGAGCTGCTGAACGAGTTCTGCAGCTTGGGTACCAAACAAACAGATACTACTCCCAGGCCCAAACCCCACCCGCTAAAGTCCAAAAATCCGGATGATATTCCTTCCACTTCCAACACCGATGCTGCTAACGATGCGAATGCCAATAAGCCGTCGGTTGGTTCCCTTGAATTCCTGGAGCTCCAAAAGCGCAAAACCAAGCTACTCTCCTTGCTCGAAGAGGTAATACTTCCTTCTTCCTTTCTGTTACAGAAAGAAAGTAAAGGTAAACTCAAATTCATCGTAACTGCCCACGAACTGAAAGTGGTGGGGGATGGATTTTCATTTTTCGATAGATGAAAAGGAGAGACAAGACAATCTGTTTTCTTGTTCCATCTTAATTACCCCCTTCCCTAAAGGCAACCCCAAAAGAAAACAGACTGTCAGAAAAGATTTTCTTTTGTTTCTTCCTCTTCTTCTTCATCTCCATTCACTTGGGTAGTTGTTCTGTTGTGTGGGGAGATGGGAGGGGCTGGAGCTGAGCTAATTTTGCGACTACGGGGACCTCCCGCCATTAATGGCCTCTCTCCCCCTCCCGCTTCGTGACAATTCCGCCTTTTCCATTAACTCGCCGAACCCTCTATTTTTTAATGACAGGGAAAATAATAAGTGGTGGCTTTCTTGTGTTGGTTTTTTTAAGGTTGACAGGAAGTACAGGCACTACTGCGACCAGATGAAGGCGGTCGTGTCGTCGTTCGAGGCGGTGGCGGGGGCCGGGGCGGCCACGGTGTACTCGGCGCTGGCGTCCAAGGCGATGTCGAGGCACTTCCGGTGCTTGAGGGACGGGATCGTGACGCAAATCCAGGCGACCAAAAAGGCCATGGGGGAGAAAGATCCGGTGGCGCCGGGGACGACGAAAGGCGAAACGCCGCGTTTAAAGGTGATCGATCAGGCGATACGGCAGCAGAGGGCGTTCCAGCAGATGAACATGATGGAGACTCACCCTTGGCGGCCGCAGCGCGGGCTCCCGGAGAGATCCGTCTCCGTCCTCCGCGCCTGGCTCTTCGAGCATTTCCTCCACCCGTAAGTAACAACGAATCAAAGATTTTGTGCGTTTTTGAATCATCTTTCGTCGTATAGTTTAATTACGGTAACAAAAATTTCACATTCACTTAAGATGAAAAGTCATTCGTACAGAAATCTTGGTGCTTATACTTCTTGTTGTTACTTAGAATGGAGAAGGAAAACATATTGTGGGTGTTTGGTGATGGGATTAATTATAAGAACAAATTAGTGATCGAAATGATGCTTGAAGTTGAGAGGGGGAAGGATTCGTGCGATGAGATTTTTATTGGTATTGCTTGTAAGGTTGTATGTGGGGAGAGATTCTCATATTGGGGGAGTTTTGTCAATATTAGCTTTCAATCATTTAGTGCCTAGTGCCCACCTCCTCTACAACTTTTTTATGTTTCTTTTCTTCTCCAATTTGTATTTTGGCTATAAAGATGGATAGATAGATCTCATTTCCGATCTTCTTGATCATATTTCTTTCTGTGTTTTGAGTTATTTGATTCCTTTAGCCGAATAGTTGGGGTCCCTCTATACATATACTTATTGAAGCTTATTACTGGTTGTTTTGTTTTTAAGGTACCCAAGCGATGTCGATAAACATATTTTAGCGCGTCAAACAGGTCTCTCCAGAAGCCAGGCAAGTCTCCATCGACGCTTCCCATTAAACAACTTTTCCCTTTTGTTTCCCTCTTCATATATAATATAACTAGCTAATCAAATCCAATTTATCGTGAACTATATATTTAGGGGATATAGACAAACAAAATATATATTAGTAATACACAAATTTTGTATGCATGCAAGCAAAATGATACATGTATGTGTTGGTTCCTTTGTTCCTTCTCCTTTGTTTGCTTCTTTTCACCACAAGTGGGGTTTCCCATCTGATTGAAACGTTTTTGGTTGTGGGTTGTTTGGTTTCTTCCCTTTGGTACTTGCCAAACAGGTCTCCAATTGGTTCATCAATGCAAGAGTCAGGCTGTGGAAGCCAATGGTGGAAGAACTATACACAGAAGAAACAAAAGACCCTAATGAAGACTTCATCCACAACATCAGCACCAACAACAACAACAACATTAACAATCATCGTTTCATGATGTCTTCTTCCTCGGCTGGTCATGGAGCCCACGATCTTGATCAAGACAACAACGACGACAACGACAACAACAACATCAACATCCGCCTCCTCAACACTACTCACCACCACCACCACCACCACCTTTCCTCGTCCGCCGATCAAAAGCCAAGCCATGATCAGTTGATCCGAATCGACTCCGACTGCCTCTCGTCCATCATCACCAACCCTGATCGAAACGACCACCAAATCACCACAACCAGAACCACCGCTGCCATGGCCGCGGCCAAGACCTACCAAAGCCACCACCACAATCATTTGGCGTCTCAACAGCAACAAGGGTTTGGAGCTTTTGGCGCGGTGGAGCTTGATTTCTCCTCGTACAATCATCATCCCACGGGGGGCGCGGTTTCTTATGGTAATGATCATCATCAACATCAGCAGCAACAGGGAGGCGTGTCGTTGACTCTAGGGTTGCAACAGCATGGAGGGAATAATAACGGCGGTGGAGGAGTGAGCTTGGCGTTCTCGCCGGCGACACAAGGGAGTTTGTTCTTTCCGAGGGACCAAATGGAAGAATGTCAGCAGGTTCAGTACTCGCTCCTCGATGGTGATCAAGGTCAGAACTTGCCTTACAGGAACTTGATGGGTGCTCAGTTGCTGCATGATCTCGCCGGATGATATATCATGGCCGGCGGGGAGACGGAGGTGATGGGTTGAACATAATTAGTTTATTGAAAAGTAGTTTTAAATCTCTTTAGATTATATATATTTATAGGATTAGATACCATATGGTGAGGGGAAAATATAGATCTCTCCATACATATTGAATACATAAGAAGAAGAAGAAGAAGAAGAAAGAAGTTACAGTCGGTTACAAGCTAAGGTTTGTTCATCATATGCATGGATTGGATGGGGGCATTATTTATTAGTTCCATGTTGCAGCGTTGTTTCTACATGGAGCAGCATACATGAGAAGAGATGGAAGGATAGTTTCTACTTTCTTCTTCATCGATCTTCTCATGATCTCATCATTTCTTTTTTGGAAAAGCAGAAGCTAGTGGATTTGAATTTTTGGGGTTTACCTTCATTTTCCATCAAGAAGAACATGTATGTATGTACCTTGTCTCTCTGGTAATTTGAGCTGATTGATATTTGGGATTGCAAGTGAATTGATTGATGCAAGATGTTAGACATATCTCTCTCTCTCTCTCTCTCTCTCTTTGCTTTTTGGGTTCTTGAGTTATTTTTCTTTTTGGTTCACTTTTCTGTTTTGGGTAGAATCTGTTTTTCCCGAGAAATTTTTCATGAGTAGTGACAGATTGTACAATTTGTAGCTTGGAGGAGGTGCATAGCTAGCTAGCTAGTAGCATGGCAGGCTTATTTAATTCAATTTAATATATTTCCTTGTTGACTAAAATATATGGTTTCTAAGAATGTTTGTCTGAGTTGTGGTTCTCGTGGGTTTGGATACCATGCTAAGTTGCTGATAGTGTGGTTTAGTGAAGATTGATATGGTTGGGGTTGGGGAGTTCATGAGATGATTGTAACGAAAATAATTCAACAGTATTAACTTGTGTATTCTACTGAAATTTCTATATATGTATAGTATGTAAAGATTATATTATATATAGTGCTTTAATTAATTAATTAAACTCGTGTATTCTACTGAAATTTCTAGATTCTATAATGCGTGTGTGGTTGAATGTGTCATAAACCAGTTAGTCCCAATAACTCGAGTTATTGGGAGAGGGTTATGCTGGATCTTATACATGCCCATGTATGGTACTTAACCATTTCCTTACACACCCCCTCAAACGAAAGCCGACTCATGGGCTTGAAATTTGCACAGGCCCGCCATACCATGTGCTGGAAAGACAACGGTTAATATTGGGGGTCGTGAGAACTTGAACACGTGACCTCAATGACAAACCAGCTTTGATACCATATCATAAACGAGTTAGTCTCAATAACTCGAGTTGTTGGGAGAGGGTTATGCTGGATCTTATACAGATACATTGTATGATACTTAACCACTTCCTTACAGAATAATCCTAATCTATAGCTTTTTTTTCTTCTTCTTTTCTTTCGATCAACAATGAAGTAGTTTTAATAATTTATTGTAGGGCTGCAGAACGGTTTTCGGTTAGCAGTTAACCGGTCGGTTACGACCGAACCGACCGGTTTTCGGCTAACCGAAAACCGACCTGTATTGACGTCGGTCGGTTGCCGGGGAAGAGGATGAGAGGCTCGGCTAGCCGATTAACCGCGGTCAGTAACCGGCGGTTAACCGGCTAACCGACGACCCCGCAGCCCTACCCAAAACAACCCCTTCGCCCAGCCCCAAAACCCAAAACAACCCCTTCCCCCAGCCCCAAAACAACCCCGCTCCAACCCACCCGAAAGACCAAAACCCCTATCCTCTTCAACCCTAACGTCGAGTCGACCTCCTTCTCCTTCCTCGGCGTCGGCGGCAGCGGCGGTCTCCTCCCTGCTTCTTTTACATTCATCTAAAATCAATCCTCAAGAGTCACAAGAAAACGAAAAAAAAAAATTAGCCGAAAAACCCTACCTAAAATCAATCCTCAAGAGTCGAAAAACCCAGCATGCAATCCAAAATCCTACCTAATTCGAAGCTGATCCGGAAACCCAGAAGCCAATGGAGCAAAGGATTTAACCTCGGCTTCAGAAACCCAAAAATCAAAGTCGACGAACACGAGAAGTCGCTAGGAGCAGAGGATGTAAGCTCTGCTTCGTGAACCCAGATATTGTAGAATCAAAATCCTTAGAAATCGAATCGTTACGGGCTGGATCCAAGAACGACAGCTCGGCGAGGGGAGTTGGAAAGACGGTTCTGACGACAGAGAGCTGGCCTCTTCCGACCATGTTTTTGCCATTTAGAGACGGAAGGACAGGAAGCAGAGCAGGTCTGCGCGAAGGGACGACGACCAAGAGTCCTTACCAGAGTCGCAATCTCTCGATCTCTCTGCCAGATCCTCGGTGGAAAGCCTCTGTTCTTGTCGATTTTCTCTGGAAAGGAAGAAGAGAATCGAAATAGAGAAGGGAGAGAGATAGGTTAGAGCGGCGGGTTTCTCTGGATAGGGAGAAGAAGAATCGAGAAGTGGAGAATCGAGATAGAGAAGGGAGAGAGATAGGTTAGAGCGGCGGGTTTCTCTGGATAGGGAGAAGAAGAATCGAGAAGTGGGAGGGGTTAGAGCGAGTGGTGCGGATTTTTTGGTTTTTTTTTTTTTTTTTTAGAAAAGGTATTTTCCGGTTGGCCGGCTAACCGACCCTAAAACCAAAACCGACCGGTCGGTTGGCCGGCTAACCGTGCTCACTCTCACGGTCGGTGATCGGCTGCTAGAAGGGGTGGCTCGGTTTAACCGATAATCGGGTTTTCGGTTTTCGATTAAACCGAAATCGACCGACTGCCACCCCTAATTTATTGTGTGATATATCAGAGGGAGGGAAGACATGCAGGAAAATTAAATAGGAGACCACAAATTAGTTGAGGGTTTTTTTATTGGAAAATTCCAAATAATAATAAAAGAAAATACAGAGAAAATATCAGAGGAATCTAGCTACCTATCATGATGTGGTAGACTTGTTTTGTTGTGGTCCCTTACGTGTAGTTATATGCATGAAGGTGATATTTCAGAAGTAACAAACTAAAACCAAATAACTCATATAGGAAACGAGGTTTCTTCGATCGCTGTAGATCAGAGAATGAGAGATGTATGCCTCTTCCTTCCTTCTATTCTTCTTCCCGATTTTCTCACATTGTTTTTTTCATGAAATAACTATTTGTTCCTTTCTTTCTTGAATGGCTTCATTTTAATGCGCCATAGAAATGGCTTCGTCGACAGGAAAGCTACCTTTATTAAACTGCGAACTGCCCTTTAATTTATTCCGATCGAGAGGTCGATTTTTATTTGATGCACCGCGCGCACGAATTCGATCATTTATGAAGGTTATTTTCCTCCTAGGATTAAAACCCGGTTCTGTTTCTTTTGTCCGTAACTGTGTGAATAAATATTTATATGGGCTTGTTTCTGGTCCCATGGTAAATTTAGAGTAGCGGTAAATAAGAAAATATTGTACTTCATGAGACAGTGTTAACTTAATGGGCAGTCTTTGTTACATTTCAAATCATTTAGAGATGATAGTTATAGTTATAAGAAAATTATCACAACTTAAATTTAAATTTTGGGGTCAACAACCATATGAATTTTTTTTTATCTCATTCGCAGCTTTGACGCAAGCGTAGGTGGAATGGATCCTTAACCTCCAAGTTTTGTTAACATCGTAAATAAAACTCCAAAATCTATTAGTCGCTCGAGATGGAGTGGCTCCTGACTCATGATTATCAAATTAAGGCTCCTTGATGTCAATTTTGAGATGAATTCGGAAGTTGTTATTCGTGAGCTTTAGGGAAGCATCTATGTACTTACTAGTGGTCCAACATTTTGAGATTATTTTCGGTTTAGAATTTAGTGAGCTTCATAGTATTGTTATTCGGATTGCACATAAAGCGGGAAAAAAAATTCTTACAAGTTTTATTTAAAATTATGCTCGTTCAATTTTGTTTCTTTGAGCAAGAAATCACATATATAACAATTTCGATTCTCACTATCTTTTTACTCGATAAGAAAAATCCCTTTCCGATCTCATCGTTATATCAATATTATCATTCACAAAAGGATGATCAACAATAATTCACTTAGTCAAGGACCCATTTTGCTTTAGTCATGCCTAGGAGTCAAGCGTGCATGTTATGCTTTAGATGTTCTGTATAGCGTCGGATCTTTTGACTTTCCTCTTATTATTCTTGGAAATAGACAAACTGTATGTGAAAGGGGATGTGACAAAGAAGTGGAGGAAAAAGGAATAACACAACAAGACGTGATAAAAAGGCATACACAATTTGCTGATTCAAGTAAAACCAGAAAGGAATTTATCCCATGCAGCTTCAGTTCCATAATCTGTATGCTGATCTAAGGTACCTAAATTCTTGTGGAATATATTGTCCCAAAACTATTTAAGCTGATCCAATGTTTCCCTAACCTTGTTATCTCTTTTGGTTTCCCTTCCCAGCTCGCCCTTCCACTCAATCGTTGTCTATGCTTATTCGCTCGTACATAGTAGTGATTAGTGAATGGTAATTAATTCAGTAATATTGTCTATCAACCTACGATTGTATTTGTATGAGGTTTCCTGTTGTACAATTCACCTAAATATTCTTGTGAGGTTAGCTATAAATTCCTTTTGAAGTACTTTTCTCCTGTTGTCAAATAAACTTAAATTCAAGGGTACACAAAATAAATATACTTATGAGGTTTCTTGTATGCAAGTCACGTACATGTTCAAAGAGAAAATTATTTATTTTCGCTCTATATTTTTCAATATTCCAGAACAAGAGAACACAAAATTATTGTCGCTTTGTGTTGTCTACTTGTCTTATAATTTCCCTAGTTTACATTTGTTTACTTTTTCTTCAAACCGATATAATTCTTGTTCTCACCATTGGGAGTGGTGACACTTCTCATATCTTGGTATTGGATTTAGCCTTCAATAATATGATTATATGAAGGCTAGTTATAAAATAAATAAAAAATCTATGTGAAGGCTGATTAACATTTATGATAGTATATCAAGGGAACGGTTCCAGTGCTGGGCCAATGGCAGACCGAGACTGGTAATGGCAGGCCCAATGGACTGGAGTGTGATAATATAATAATCTGTACAATACCGTTGAAACTGAATCTTCACATTAGAAATGGCCCATACAAAAGGATCCAAATTAGGTAGCTGAAAAAGTTTTCCGTAACTGATAACTGTGAAGAGTTCGTG